GTTTAGGTTAAGGGTTAGGGTTAGGTTTAGGGTTAGGTTTAGGTTAAGGGTTGGGGTTAGGTTAAGGGTTAGGTTTAGGGTTAGGTTAAGGGTTAGGGTTAGGTTTAGGGTTAGGTTAAGGGTTAGGGTTAGGTTAAGGGTTAGGTTAAGGGTTAGGTTTAGGGTTAGGGTTAGGTTTAGGTTTAGGGGTTAATTTTAGGTTTAGCGTTTACAGTGTGCTTCTGTCTCCGCGCTGTTGTCGCCCTGTTGATGACGTCAGCTATGCGGTTTAGTCGAGCGCGGTTTAGTCGAACGCGGTTTTGTGGTGGAACCGATTCTGGGCAATTGTGGACTAGAACTGGGCCAGAAACTCTCCAAAGGCAGCCTTATGCAGCCTTCTTGGATTGAGGAATTCCTGTATGTGAGGCTGCTTGAACAGGAAATGCTTTCCCTTTCTGGGAACAGGTGGGCTTTGCCTGACTTACCTGGTGGCTGAACCTTCTCCAGGCTCTGGAAACTTGACAGGACGCTCCGGCCATTAAGGTTCTGGAGCAGGCGGAAGTTGCTCTGGATGGGCTCCTCCTCGTCTCCATGGAGGGTCTCCTCCAGCACAGAGATCTGCAGGGAGAAGGGACAGCAACGATCACCCGGAGGGGGCGAAGGACTCAAGGGAGAAAGAGGGGAGGACCAGGGGAGTACAGACCTGTTCCCGGGAGAGCCGGACTGTCTGGTTAAAGACTGTCCAGTTCACCGTCTGGTAACAAGGTGGGGTGGTCAGGGAGCCGTTGTAGCGGAAATAGCGATCGAGGTCGTCAGGAAGCAACTTGGCTACATCGAAGCCGGCAACGGCCGTTTCCTCTCCTGAGAAAGGAGAAGCCTGAAAGTGAGGATCCTGCCAGGAGGAGGCAGAGAAGCAGACGGGTGGGAGCCCTCCAGATGGGCACTGCCGCATGAAGAGAAGGGCGCCCCAAGGCCACCCCTAAGAGCCTCTCATTCAGATGAATGGAGTGCGGTGATGAGAGGCATCGTTGCCACTCAACACAAGTGGCAACAGTTGTGGTTAATCAAGACTGTGCCAATGTGGCCACTTCCTCTGACTTCAGCCCTGCTCTTCTGCCTCGGAGGGTCGTGTAGGGAAGAGGTTTTTTTAAAGAGCCGACGCGGCACAGTGGTTAAATGCAGCACTGCAGGCTTCTTCAGCTGACTGCAGTTCTGCAGTTCGACTGTTCAAATCTCACCAGGCTCAGGGTTGACTCAGCCTTCCATCCGAGGTGGATGAAATGAGGACCCAGACTGTGGGGGCGATATGGTGACTCTGTAAACCGCTTAGAGAGGGCTGAAAGCTATGAAGCGGTATATAAATCTAACTGCTATTGCTATTGCTCTGTTTTCAGCCACAACAGCCTCCTGCAGCCTCTTGGCAGCAAAAACAGAGCTTGGGGATATCAAGCATGGCCCG